GGTTGTGGCCACTCCGGGCTGCAGACAACCGACGGCAGTGGTGGGAAGACTGGCGGCCATCGCCGTGCCGCTCCGCCCCGCGCGCGGGGAGCCCTCCCTTAGGCTTTGGGTGAGGAAACATTGTTTTGTGCTAAGGCAGCCCTTCTCTTTCTAATTATGAAAATTGTGGTAAGTTAAACCCAGAACAGCAGAAATAAGAGAGTACTTTCTGAGCCCTGGGCCTGCAGGGAGATGTTGGTAACAGTTTGGGGGGCTCCTAGGGCTTCTGTTTTGGACTGATGCTCACCTCACTGGCCTGAGTAGGGCACTCAGAGCCGGCCTTGGGCAGCCACACAGGACACGGAGCCTGCACTCTCCTCCCCTCCAGTCCCACCACCTGAAGTATCCTTTTCCTTTCTTTTTTATTGGAATAATTTTACATTTACAGAAAAGCTGCTAAGATAATATAGAATCTACCCACCTGTTCCCCTAGTGTTAACAACTTATATTTGCATGGTAACTTTGTCAAAACTAGGGAACCTTGGTCCATGACCATTAGCTAAATTCAAGACTTGATTCAGAGCTCACCAGTTTTCCCGCAAATGTAGAAAAGATCTCTTAAAGCAAATCTGTTTGAGACTTCCACTGTGGGCTGAACAGAGATTCCTCTACCAGAGTGGCCCTCTCACTGGAAACCAGCTAACATGGATGAAACAGATGAGGCATTTGTTTTCAGGTGTGGGTAACAGGATGGCAGGACTGCAGTGAAGTGCATGAGGAACACCTGGATCACCCGGCTCTCTGGCAGGCTCCCACCATAGCATAGGGGGTTGGAGTCCAGCCAGGGCACGCTGCTGCACTGAGCTGAGGGGCAGTGGCGCAGCTGGAATCCAGCGGCAGAGCTCTGGAGGAGTGGCAGGTGTGCAGGGGAGAGTCTGAGATGTCCCACTGTCCCTGGCCGCACATGCTTAGGGTGAGGCCCCTGGACTTAGCAGAGAACAACTGCAATGGAAGTTCTGAGCAGGCCAGGGTGCAAACCCCAGCCAAGCCCCATGTACCATGTCTCTTGGGCAGCTGAGACCCCAGGGCCAATGGCCAGGATCTGCACTAGGGCTGCACCTTAGAGCAGCACATTCTCTAGGCATGGCTGTTCCAGTCACCTATTGCTGAGGATCCTATCACCCCAAAACTCAGTGCTTCAAGACGACAGTAAACACTGATTATCACGTTAAGTTTCTCTGGTCAGGAATTCAGGAGTGGGTGATCTGGATAGTTCTGGTTGCCCAGGGCTTCTGTCATCTAGAGGCTCCACAGAGGCCACAGATGGGCTGCCAAGATAGCTTAGTCCAGCGTTGCTGCTCATTGGCAGGGGGCCTTGGTTGTTCCTCAGGTGGGCCTCTCCCCAGGCTGACTGAGTGTCCTTCTAACCCAAAGGCGGCCTTTCCACCAGAGGGAATCCAAAGGGGAAGAAGGCAGTAGCTGCAGTCTTCTGGGGTTTGGCCTTGGAAAGCACACATTGTCCTTTTCAGGGGAAGATGACAGAATCTAGAGATGCTGCAACAGCCAATATAAAATAAAAAGTCATTAAACATGCAAAGAAAAGAGAAAATGTGGCCATAATCAAGGAAAAAGGCAATCAGTAGAAATCAACCCTGAGCCTAGTGTTAGTTTTGACAAAGAAAGACTTTCAAGAAATTGTATTAAGATACTCAACAATTCAAGGAAAAGAGAGCCTGTGAGTGAAAAGGAATTCCAACAAAAAAATGGAAAATGTTAAAAAGAACCAAATGACAATGGTAGAGATGAAAAGTATGTAACTGACATGAGAAAATCACTCTGGATGGGACTGGCAGATGAAGGTGACAGAAGAAAGATTAAGTAAACTTAAAGACAGACCAGTAGGAATTGTCTAGTCTGAAGAATGGAGAGGAAAATGCTGGCAGAGACAGTGCTCGTACCTGATGGGCAATATTGAAGGTTTAACATATGTGTGCTGGAGCCTG